AAAGTACTTGTGTCTTGCACTTCGTCTGCACCTCGTACTTTGTTATACTCCTTATCTGGTACGCCCAGTATTTGTGTCTTGCACTTCGTCTGCACCTTATACTCGGCTACCCCGTTCTCTCTTTGAAGTACTTGTGTCTTGTGTCAGGCACCACCTCCTCATANATTTGTGTCTTGCACTTCGTCTGCACCTTATACTCGGCTACCCCGTTCTCTCTCTGAAGTACTTGTGTCTTGCACTTCGTCTGTACCTCGTACTTCATCTTCGTACACACAGTTACACATTTACACACATTTTACAATATCATTTTCTTTCCTGTGTTACGACAGAAGTAAACAAGAGTATTATTATTCAGAAAACAAAGGGGGCTTGAAAAAATATATAAATATGATTAAATTTCCAACTTTTTTTTTTTTTAACCAATAATTTTATTTATTTTATCTCATCATATTCGCTGAAAAATTTGTATTTATAATGGGGACTTATTGTAATTTTTTAATGAAACTTATTACTTTTACATATTGAATTATTGATAAAAATTCAAGACTTTTAAAATTTTAAAATATTTTAATTAAAAGCTAATTAAACAGTACTACATATTTTTTTTTTAGTTTAAAATTATTTACAACATTAATTAAATGTAATATTTTGTTGCTAAGTTATAAAAACAAAAATTCAGTATAAAAGCTTGTTTACAAATTTATTTCATTACTACTTTTTCTGAAACGTTAAAAAGTAATTATTTTATAAATTTTGAGTGTTTTTCTTAAAAAGTAAAATATGTCAATCAATGATTTTCGTTTGCTGAGTATTATCAAGATGTCATGTTGGAAAGAAATCGAAATCGATATAAGCTTGCTGAAGTCGACGCTTGATTATAATGGCTCGTTTTACTTAAAGCATCCGAGTTTATTTCCTTCGAGTTACTCAACGCCTGACAATGAATCGCTGAAAATGGAAGAACTACTAGAAGATTTGAATAAAATTCCACCAATCCCTGTTTTGATTAATAATTTAAAAGCATCAGAAAGTTGTATAATACCTTCCAAAAATGTATTCTACGACTTAGTAAAGATCAGATTCCAATCGCCAGAAACAGTTTTAAAACTAATACCGACTGAATTGACTAAGTCGTTTTTGAAGTACAATTTAAAAAAAAACAATACTACCTCGTTTCCGGATGCATATAAAGCATTAGACTGTACTATTTTTAACATCGGCCATCAATTTGATATCGTTGACGATATTCAAAGTAACAAACGTTTTGTTTTCTTTGGTTGTCCGTTGTACGAAGTAAATGTACACTTAATGAAACTTGCGTCTACAATAAAAATATCGTCAAGTATAGAAAATGTCTTAGGGAGCACTAAATCTACGAAATGTTGGAAAAGGAGCACGTTTGGTGAAGATGTTATTTCTATTTTAACTTACGAGGTTCCAAATAAATTATGTCGTAGGGCTTTCACAGACGTGCCATTACGAAGATTGGGCTCTCCAAGGTATTTAATGATTTGGTCAACGAGTGTTTGTGTAAGTGCACTTAAATATTCGTGGGAAATCGACTTAAGAAAAACATTATTCAAGGCAGTCGATTTCGGGGGGAAAAAATTCGAAAAAGTAAAGAAATGTTTAGCAGAGAAAACTACACAAACAGATTATCATAGTTTGAAAATAAACGAGCTGCAAAGTAATGATGAAGTATCGCCACAAGACTTACAACAAAAGATTAATTTTTATTTACTTGATATTATTAAAAGTTCATGTTCTAAAGAATTAGAAATTGATATTGTTTTGTTGAAATCAATGGTAATACATAGTAATACAATTTATATGAAACATCCAAAACTGATTCCCACCAATTATCTATCAGTGGACGGGTTATGCAAGGTGAAAGAGCTTTTAAAAGATTTGGATGAAGTTCCACCAATAGTAGTTTTGAAGGAAGTTTCTAGATATCATGAAATACCATGTAAAAATGTATTAAATGCTTTAGTAAATACAAGATTAAATTATCCGGAAACGGTTTTAAGATTTTTATCGCCAAAAAAAACTAATGCTTTCTTGGAGTTGATTAAAAAAAATTCTGAACAGAAGCCTTGGCCAGCTGAATTGAGCATGTTAGAATGCAATATGTTTCAAATTGGTGATGATTTTAATGTATGGAATGACATAAGAAGTAATAAAGAATTCGTTTTTTCCGGTTGCCCTTTATACAATGCAAATCTTCAAATATTAAGATTGATGCCTAAAATTATGATATCGTCGAGTTTAATAAGCATTTTAAATAGCACTATGTTAGTCAAATGTTGGAATATGAGTACGTTTGGTGACAAGGTTTTAGTTACTGTTGCCTACCCAGCTCCGTATATGTTACATAAAACATTATCTACAGTTTCAATAGAAAATTTAGATCAACCAAGATATTTAATGATTTGGTCATATAAAAGTGTGTCAGAAACTACATTGAAAATATTGTGGAGCAGTAAAGTAGGAAAAATAAACACTAATGCAGTTCGTGATTGGAAAAATAATATGGAAAAAAATGACCTGTGCACGTTAAAAAGAGAAGAGAAAAATGTTAGTGAATGTATGACAAATGAAGTCAATCCGAAAATTGACTTAGTTGCATTGGAAAAGGTTGTAAAAATGAATGATGAATTTCCCCCACAGGGCAAATACATATCAGATGCACAAAAAAATCTTGATCAACATTTGTCCAGAGAAGAAATTCCTAAGATAATTAATAAATTACCAGTAAATATAATTCAAAATAATAATCAATTTTTGACAGAAGATACACAAGTAGATAGCCGTTGTTATCTAGGCAGAGTAATACAAGCTAATGAAAATTGTTTGAAAACAGAAGAAGAGAATGAAGTTAATGCTTCTAAAATAAAAAAACCTAAAGGTCGTCGATACTCAAAAATTTTGAAGCCCGTTTTAATTCTTGGCAATTCATTAAGAAAATCTTATCGATATACGGCCAAAAAATTATCAAACTGTCGTTCAAAAATCGGTTTTATTTTTTGCGGTAAATTTATTTTATTTTATTATATAAGATTTACAAGTGATTATTTAATTTTCAAAATCTATTTTTGTAACAATAATTTTTCAAAAATGTTAAGGTAGAATTTTTTTATTATAAGGTGACATTGACTAAAAACATTTTTTCTCACTTATTATTTTACAAGACCAAGTATTATTTTATACTTAGTCCAAATTACATTCTATTAAAATTGTTTTATATTTCAGATTGCATTTAAATGAAATATGTTCAGACTTACGCGTTGTTAACTTTTTTGTTTCAAAAATTTTGTGTGTTATCATTTTAGTTGAATATTATTGATTGTAATGATTGATAGTTAATTTTCAATAATCCATTTTTCTGGTATGTATGTATTTTTTAATTATGTTTATTTTTTCAATTTAACGATTTATTTTTAAATAATATGACGAAAGCATGTCTTTGTTCTTAATTGTTTCAGTTTTTTTTTTTTTAGCAAAGTTCTTAACTATAGTTATTGTAAATATATTATTTAATTTTTATAATTAAAAAAAAATGGTTTTTCATTTTTTTTAGCTTTAATGTGAAGCTAAGAATGTATTGGTTTTACTATGCTATGCTTTTATTTATGCCTGACCATGAACATTTTTAGTTCTCACTAGACAAATTTTGTTGATCTGTACTCAATATTAATATAATTGAACCTATTGTAGTTCTTAAACCATTTTTTAATTAATTTTAATATTAAATTTTTAATGATGAATGAGGCCCGGTGGTACTTACGCGGGTTTGTTAACGTTCTCTGTTTTATTTTGTCTTAAGTCAGGTTATGTTGAGGAAAAGGAATAAGGCGAGTGGACTGTATGAATGAATTTTCAAAACATATAATAATTAAATGTATTATACATGAATCATAAAATCTTATATATACTAATGTGAATGACACTTAATATTATGCCACAATGGCGCTAATATAAACAAATAATAAATTATAAATATGAGTAAGCCTTAAAAAGAAGATTAACAAGCATTATACTTATCGGCTGATTATAATGTTGAATATTGAAAGGATCAATTGAAGTCGAATGCAAGTAGTTGACCAACGTATACAATATGCTGTGAACGATACTGTGATGTATCTTAAAAAATATATATACCTAACAGCGATATACTAAGCGCACAAGGGTGCAACAATCGAAAAGGTGATATTTTACTTATACAACAAAATTAATAAAAAAACTACTAGTTCGCAAGCCCCATAGAGTTTATAGCTGAAAATGCTCCAAGATGGCGGCGAATATGCAGACATAGAGAGAAGACGGACAATAACTCGATGTAGCACAACGATAGCCTAAATAATTACAACATAAATTCTGAGCAGGACATTTGACCCCGATGTGTATCCAACAAATGATGTTTAACAAAATTGAGTTTTTAAAATAATATAACGAGTACCCCTGTTTATGGAATAAAAATATACCAAACTTTTTCAGAATCAGAAATTTCACCGATTACTCAAACCATAGTACACAATACTATATCGGACATAATTTTTTATTAATTAGTTAGTTATTATACGTAAAATCAATTCAAATTTTTAATTATAACTATCGCACGACTCATAGCAGTCACCCGAAAACGGGTGATTACATCGTGTCTGGTATATTTTTATCCCATAAATTATGGTGCTCAATATATTATTTTAAACAATCAATTGTGTCAAACAATATTAAAAATTAAATATTAAAAAAACTAATCAAAAAACTATATAAAACTACGATAGGTTCAATTAATTTAAAATTGGGTTGAAACAATTGTCTTTGAGGCCATTAACTGTTACTTAACCATACAACTATTATCATGGACTTCCTGTTACTGTGTAAAGGAGCATTATTATTTTGAACCAATAATACAATCGTAATAAAAAAAAGCAGAATAAAATATGTGTACTACAATAATAACAATAATTTTTTAGACGGACTAAGAAAAAATTACTTTTTTTAAATTTAATGTCAATTTAATAAAAAGAAAAATTATAATTCTTAAAGAAACAATTGTGAATAATAATGTTTAATAATATATATGCTACATATCTTGCAAAAAATTTTATTTTGCAAAATATTAAAAAAAATTGACTATTTGATTTATTGAATTAATTAGAGAGTATTATTATACTTAAAAAATATTTTTGTCCATATGATCTTTCAATAAACATGTATTCCAAACAAATCAAATCGAACAAATCTACTTTGGCAGCATGCATTAATTAAAAAATGTTATCATATATTAGTTGTTATCAGTAACGATATGTATGATGTTGATTACGAATTTCACAAATATACTTACTTTAAAATTAGCTTGCCGTTAGATTTAAAATTTGAAACATATAATGATGTTTTAAATCATTATTTATATTGATTGTGATTATTTGTAAACTATGCAGTCACAAATTTTATAAAATCATTGTAATAATTTTTTAATTTTCATTAAATTAAGTAAAATGGTCAAAATTTGTGATGATTTAAATGAACTTAAATTAATAGTTAGATGTGTATTAGTTGCTACTTTAGAAGCTTTGACTATTGAAGAACTATGGAAAAAAGTGACTTATTTGTTTGGAGGCCCGTACAGCGTGAAATTAGATTTATTTGGCTTTAATTCTGTACATGATTTCTTAAAAAGTATTCCAGATATTGCTGAAGTAATTACATATACTTATTAAATACTATAGAATTACATTTATCATTATCATTCAATTATTTCAAAATGTATTATTTTTTTCCAGTTAAGGGATTCTGAGGATGAAAATTCTATAGTTAACCTTGTTAGTTCACAATTGAGTAGACATATGGAAATCCTTGTGTCCTTCAACATCCAAAGACCTAAAATTAATAAAAACCAGATATCTCATAGAGACCTACTAATTCCTTACCAAACCCAATGTGCATTTATAAGAATTTTTTCTGAGCTATACACCGATGTAAGACTTTATTTTAATTATTATTTATGAGAATTGCTTCTCATAAATATATAGAAAGGGCTTGGAATTTGTTTGTGTATTATTCATCTAAAAAGTTATACTATTAATTTCTATTTTTTCATTGTAATTTCAAATTTTTATTTATTATAATTTTTTTTATATAGTTTATTAAGTGAAAGTTTAATTAGCCAAATTAAGAAATTAATTTTATTTGTTAAATTTCTCATTATAATTTTAATGATATCAGTAGATAGTTTAATTTCTATGTACTTATAAGGTTATCTTGACCTAACCTGATGAGTATATAAAAATACTGGTCAATATGTACTGTTTACAAATTTCTTTACTTTAATAAACCTTTTCTTGTTATTTTGTGGTCATCAATTTACTCGTTTGTATTGATAATTTCTGTATTGAACATAATTTTAAATATTTTTTGTAAATTTATTAATTATTTATATATAGGGATTATCCATGTGTGCATTTGAATCAGAAATTTTACATTTGCCAATTTTTAAACCATTCATGGATTGTGTAGAACCATTATTGTTCAATTTAGACCATATATTTAAAAAATGTGGGAATGGTGTTTTAATGTTAAATCAACACATTCTTGAAAATCTCAATAAGTTATGTGAAAAAGGTAATTTTAGATATAGCATTGGAAAAATAATACTTACTAAAATTGATTTTGTAGGATTTAATTTTTACCTAGTTTATTAAGTATAATATATTTTATGTTTAGATAAATTTTCAGCCTTGGATATTTATAACATTGATGAATTTTCATTGGAAAGGTAAAATATATTTTTGAAATTGAAAAAAAAATAGTTTGTTTTCAAATTAAAAATTAAATTTCCAATTAATTATTTTAACACATTTTTTTCTCAAATTTATATAAATGTTCATTTTAATAATGGTAATAGTAACTATTTAGTTATTCAAGCATAGATTTTGTATTTATTTGTCTCTCGTCTTTAAATATTTTAGAGCAAATTGTCGTTCATAGAGAAAAATTCCTTATGTACAAAATTAACAAAATTAAGTTATTTTTATATACAGAAAAAAAATTATCTTCAACATGGGAAAAAATCCTATAATATATCTTTTATTAACAATAGATAAATTAAAAAATAAAATTATAGTTTGTATAGGAATGATTGATGTATAAATTAACTATTTTATATCTTTTTAAAAATAAAAATGTATTAATGATATCAAGGTTATTTAATTTTATATAATATTAAAAAAAATAGGGTATATTGAAAAAAAAGCAATAATTACATTCTATGTTTTGAGATAAACATTTATATCTCAAATTTTCAATTTTGACTGAAATAAGTTTTGTATTAAAATTGAATAAAATCTCCTGGTATATCTTTATAGCTTGGCCACTAAAGTTCATAATTTTAAGACATTCATTTAGTAAGCTCTATAATTTGTAAATTCATTATTAAATAGAATTTAAATCAATTTAATTTTATTTGTTACTTTTTAATAGTGTTATAGTTACTGAGTAACTTATTGTAAAAACTCTCTCTATATAGTGAAAGACCTGGGTTCATGCATGATCCAGTCTAATGGTATATTTTTTTCAGTTTCTAACTTTCTAACAGTAATAATATTCTTATTATTAATCTTACGAATAATTAAAATATTAATACATTGTTAACTGTCTGAGCAAGTAACCTTTTGGATCTAAAAACTATTTAATAATTATGTTTGCTTTATATTTAGTGAGGATCAAATGAGCTATATTGCTGAAGGATTAGAGTATCCATTGATCGATATTCTAGAAGAAACAATAAAAATCAATATTGAACAACTCTTAGATGAACAATCTAATTGGATATCTGAAAGTCAAATTCCTGATTTATATATGGTACTACAGTTAACAACTTGAAAATTTACTTTTACATCAATAAAAAAAAAAATTCATGCACATATACCATTATTACTTAATTTTTTGAAATAGGAGAAATTTGGGTCTACATTTAATCATTATAGACGATGGGGTTTTACTAGAGTAAGCCAAATGTTTTCAAAATTACCTGAACTATGCTGTATTGATTTTTCTAAAATAGATGTAAAAATAATTTCAAAAAACAAACTTTCTGCTAATGTTCTAAAAACTTCTGAACTATCAAATAATAGTTAGTAGTTTATTCTTTGAACTAAATACTTTTATTTAAATTTTATTATAAAATAATTTGACTGTATTTAAATATAATTTTTAAATAATGGTCTATTATTGATTCTATTTATTTTTTACATTATTTTAGATATAGGAACTTATAAATCATCAAAACTTTCAGTAAAAAGAGTGTCTGAGAAATATTCAGAAGAAAGTGATGGTGTATTGAAAAAATTTTTGGTGAGTACACCTTAAAAAAAATTTTTATAGTATTACAACAAATTGTATTATATAGAGGAATGATACATACTTACAAGCATCAATAGATGACTGCTTTTTGGATGATGAAATAAAGTTACCATCTTGCTTACAAATTAACTGTTTATTGAATGTTAGACTTAATAATGTACATTTTAATCTATACCAAACACCAACACTATTTTGCCAAATACATGGATCAAATGAATACATAAATTTACTTATGGAAATGAAGTAATTATAATAAAAAATTTTAACTAAAACAATTGTGAAAGAAATTTTAAGCCTTATTATGTAACACTGTATAACACAAACTTAATATATAGATGAGATAATTTGAAGGTTTTGTTCTGAGAAATTCATTATGTACTTTAACTTATAATTTAAATGTTAGTTACAGTATTTTAAGTTTAAGTATTTAGCTATAATATTTAATGATAGAATTTTTAAAAACTTATAAGTAATTACTGAACTTAAATTTCTTTACACAGTATTAACATGAATAGTATATAATAGTATAGGGTGATTGATTCACTATGTCTCATATAATATCATCAAAAATACAAGATAATATATCTTTTTTTCTTTCCTAAAAGCTTATAAAATTCTACATACTACTACATAAAGAAAAAGGAAACTCTGCCTCCTACTTTTATCCCTTTAACTGATATCCACTTTAGTTCATTTTAAATTTCATTTTTAAAGTTATTAATATTTCAATAAAGGCTGAAGGTGAGGTTCCAGCATATCATATAACAAATATAACAATAATTGAATTGATCGTTATTGTTATTCAATGTTTTAAGTTATCCAAGTCAATTTGCAATGGCGGAACAAAGACTTAATCCTATATAAATACCCAAAAGAAAAAATTACCATCAGTGAAGTGAGGATATCTAAGAGACCAAGTACAAAGAGCAATATCTTGAGCCTCTGCCCTCAACCTTAAAACCCAAAAATTGGAGCAGTTTTTCATTTCAAAATGGTCAAACTGATAGGCTTCAGAGGGAGAGTAACTATTTGAAACTTACAACCTTTCAAGTAGCCACTAACTCATGCTAATTCATACATTTATATACAAAATATTTGATCAATATTTGACCAATTGGTTCATTCTTTTTGAATCACCCCTATATTATATATAAGGATATTTGGGTAAAATACTTTTTCGAATCATATAAAATCTAAAAATGATTTTATTTTTTATTTATTGAATAAAATACATTAATCAGCTCAAGATAACTAAATTTGATGCCCAAAAGTTTTAAGTATTCACATTTTGGATTATAAAATTATTTTCTATTTTACTTGAAAAATTAATTTTTACATTAAAATGTTAATATTTAGAATAAATGTACATTTCTCAAAATCTTTGAGTACTGATGGCTACTATATAAATTGCAGAATTTAGATCCATAAGTTGTTTAGATTATATAAGGATTTAAAAAAAAATTACCAATTATTTTATCATTGATCACCTAAGTAATTAAAAAATACTAATAATAGTAATTTCTTTATTGGTTTCTTTTAGTTACATGTTTTTTCTCAATTTATCAATCATAAAGTATTCTTTAGGTTCATCCTCTATACTTTATAAGAATGTCAATCTAAAAAACAGAATAAAGAATTAACATGTTTTTATTATACTCTAAACTATGTTTTTTTTTTAAATTAAAAATATATTTTAAATATTAATTTAAAACTAAAAAATATTTAATTCAAGCCACAAAAATTATTAAAAAATGTGTATACATATTTTAGGTACTATGTTACCATTAGCACAAAAATCATACTGAGAATTATTTGCATATTATAGAAATTTTAGTCAATTTTTTTTTAAAGTATTGAGTGAAGCATAATTAATCAATCACTCTATATTTATATAATTTTTATAGTTCTGAAAAATATATTATTTTATTTTTTATTTTAGAAAATTTTATTTAGAATATCAAGATAAGTTTAAATTTAATCAAACTTTAACTATGGTTAGAAATACTTATGCATTTTCATTAGGCGATAATTGGTTCAGAGGTACTATTTTAAGAATTGATCCTGATAAAGTAAAAGTGAGTAAACTATTAAAATTTGTATATTTTTCTATTTTTCAACTTATTTGTTATAAAATTTTGGTATAACTCATTATTTTGTACTATAGATCATGAATATTGATGATGGCTTAATACATCACATTTCATTTGATAATATAAGAATATTATACAAAGGTTTTAGTACATTACCTTCTCAAGCATTAGTATGTCATTTAAATGGAATATATTCAATTGACAAAAATAAATTGCTAAATTTAATTAATAAAGATTGTAGAATACTAGTTACCGAGATCAATCAACATAATAATGTAAGTGTATATTTACTAATAAATTAACTTTATATTAAAAATTGTCAGCATCTCTTTACAGCTTTCTTGTAATTTAATATAAATTATGTTTTATACTTCAGTCTGTTGGTATTAAAATAAAATTGGCCAGTACAGCCTTGGATGAATACTTAAATGACATATGGATTTCTTCTGGTGATGCATTAGCTGACTCTTCTTCAGATGAAGATTAAAAATTACAATTAAATATTTAATATTAATCGTGTTACTTTTTTATATTTTAATAAAGTTATTTTAAGCTGAATTTTATTTGGAAAAATAAGTAAAAAAAAAACGGTAGCACAGTGGGGTCGCGGCATAGTGGAGACATTGCATAGTAGGGTCCAGTATAGATTTAATCTGACAGTGATTAAAATCACTATCATAAGAAACGCTTCGATGCAAATCTGTAAATAGTGTTTAATTTAAAAAAATTTTTGGATAATTGCAAAAGCAACATCAACTTCTATTAAAATAAAATACAAAACCCATAATTATCATACAAAAATAGTATATTTTTCAATATGGTAGCCATTTGCGTATAGAAGATAGATCGTCGGGACAAATTTTTTTTTTTCATTTTGTAGTACATAAAATAAGCTTTAATTTTATATATGTTTAAAGGACGCAGTATTTCCGGAACATTTTCAAAAATTAAGTTGAAAAAGTTATTTTTTGTAAAAAAGTTACTATTTTAAATCCTCCCAGTGAGCAGAATAAGTGTTAGATTTTCAAAAAAAATTATATCAAATGAAAGGGAAATATCTAAGGTTTCAATACAAAAAAATATTATTTTTATTTGTTCATTTTTGAAAAAGGTATGGCAGTTTTAAGTACAAAAAACATCCCGATAAAAGGTGATTTTTATCGCAAACATTACATTTTTTTTTAATTTTCGACAGCCATTTGCACATAGAAGATAAGATGTCGGGACAAATTTTTTTTTTTATTTGATAGTATATAACATAACCTTTGATTTAATATATGTTTAAAGGAAGCAGTATTCCCGGAACATTTTCAAAAGTTCAGTTGAAAAAGATCTATGTTTTTTACAATATTTCAAGTTTTGAACGCCCCCTATATAAGGGGAATTTGTCCAATTTTAATAAAAAGTATGTCAAATGAAAGATGTACTTATAATGTATTTAGAAAAAAAAATGTATGCTGATATATACATTTTTCAAAAAGTTATAGCATTTTTAAGTTGAAAATTTAAAATCGAAAATTTTAACAAAAAATAGTGTTTTTTTAACTACGGCAGACGTTTAAATGTAGAAGATAAAGTGTCGGGACAAATTTTTTTTTTTCATTTTATAGAACATAAAATAAGCTTTAATTTGATATATGTTTAATTAAGTTGAAAAAGTTTCTATTTTAAATCCCCCCCAATGAGCAGGTTAAGTGATAGATTTTCAAAAAAATGATATCAAATGAAAGGTAAATATCTAAGGTTTTAGTATAAAAAAAA